TAGATATATCTAATTAAATGGACCGCTTTGTGATTTCATGCACATGTGGCTTTTTTACTGGGTGGATTTACATGGGGCATGAGAATTGCACCAACTACAATAAAAAAAAAAAGATTCTGTCAGAGGAATTTAAATGAACAAGTAGCAGGATCCTTGAGGCTGGCCTGAGGCGATTCCCCCCTCAGCACCAATCAGAGCTCCAATGACAAATATTCTCTGCAGTCTTTGAAGCCTTCTCTGGCCCTTTTGTGACTCTTTAAGTTCTTTTCCTTCCTACCTTGGGCCGTCAAGTATAATCCAGGCTATAAGTACACTAGAGACATACTCTGATTAAATAGCCCCATAGGAAAAATGCTTTAAGAGGTGTTTTCAGCTGCACTGCAGGTGCTTTTGCATTTCTTAAGATTTTTCTTCCATTGCTTCTTTTTTTTCTTACCTCAAACAATTTGGACCTGAGGGAGCAAAAGTCTCAAAGCAATCAAATCTGTGGAAATGTTTCAGATCTCAACCTGTAGACAGCCAAAGAAATTAAACAGATAAGTCAGTAGGTGACGCTATCTATGACAGGCCACTCTACATTTTTCTTCCTGGCACAACTTTTTTTTGCGTGTCAGAAAATATAAAACATATTTCCTAAGTTTCCCAACATATGCTGTGTCTAACATACTGCATCTTGTGTTAAAAAGTGAAGGCCTGTTCCAAAATAGACGCATGTTAAAAAATGTCAGTTCTTCACAAGTGTCTGGCAATCACACAAATGCGACTGATAGTGAAAACACTAAACTGTAAGTTAATCATAAATAACACACATCGATACTGCAACTAAAGGCATTCAGAGCATGTATGCTGTGGCACAGAATCTTCAAGTTGAAGTCACAATATTGAATCATCAGTGTGAATCAGTAGCTTTTTGCAGTGACTGAAAGCATCATTGTCAGCTAAGTTCATTAATCATGATGTGACAGCTCTTTTGCAAATATGTGGCAGCTGAGTACAAACAGCCCCGGGTTGTGCCTCTTATGTATCATCATTACATTTGAAATTTCACTAAAGATGAAAATAAGCTGAAAAATAAATACCAGTCGATCTTTGAAAAGGTCATTCAACAACACTTACCACTGTTCTGAAGGTATTTCCAGGATACTCGCAACTTAAGAAACACATCAAAATCCTTTTTTTACTCTGCAACAGACTTTTAATCCTTTAAGAATTCTGAAAATAGACCAATGGGGAGTGTTGTTAAACCACTTTCTGGGATTTTCAATGGTGAGTGGCATGTGGGACTGCCTTACAAACAGTGCTTATACAGACTTACCTTTGTACTAAACTGAATATAAGACTTTGAACCAGCAACAGACTGAACTTACTACTGAAATAAAGACAGTCACCACTAATGTACATAGTCTATATACAAATCTTTTGAACGTCACTGAACAAAATATAAAGTAAATTAAAGTAATTCAAACTTTGCTGATTATTTTGACCCCTGGCTAACAACTAAACACAAATGTTTGGTATAGGAGTCAGCAAATAGCTGTATTAACTGAACTGGATATCCCATTCATTCCAATATAAGACCAGTCACCAGTCACATACACTTAAACGTTTATCAGGTTTTCTTTCACATTCACATTTTTAGGCCCTTAGAACATGAACATTAGAGTCCTTCTCATTAGAAACTAACTCTGGCTGAGCTGGCTGACTTACTGTTGGCCCTTAGCTCACATAAATGGCATGAAAAAAACTAAAGCTACTGTACTGATAGGGCTCTCCACTTTTCAAGTTTCATTGCACCCAATGGCTTAAACTCTGATTATAAGAATAGTTCTTTTTACAGCGTTTACAGTTTAAAGTAAAGTGTGAAAAAATGTTTCACTGACTGCATATGAGAAAAGGCCTTTTAGTGTGGGTGTGCGTCATTTAATCTTGCAATTCTGACTGTTACCAGAATGCCAAAAAATTGCCTTAAAGCCCAGCACTGTACGTTAAGGGTCTTGCATGTCATCATGCTCCATAGTGCCACCATCAGGCTAACTTTACAGGCACTGAATCTTACCCCAGCATGAACTGGATAAGAGGCACTATGGACAGCTCACTAGTCTCATATGGCTGATATACAGACAGACTCAGCATTCACACTCACATTCACACATTTTTTATTTATACAGTATATACCTGTAAAATTGAGTCCTTCTCCACAAGGTTTTACCCACAGAATATTTCAACAACTGCCTCCATTTTTCTGGAACGTTATTAAACTTAACCAACTGCCCAAGACACCTGTGATGCTGCAGAAGACGTGCAAACCCTGGACTTAATGAAAATATAAGAGATGGCTTCAAATTGTGTCAGATCACTGTTGGTTGTATTCTGTAATGTAAAGACAAATTTTCAATTTTGGGGACAGTAATATCTCTGGTGTTGGTTTGGCTGATGGGCCTGGACCCTTGGACCTGCCACAGTAATATCCGCAAGCTTATATTTTTGCTTTTTCCTAGTTAACAGACAACCACAGTAAATCCCATATGCTGAGATGTAGTATGAAAATGCCAAGACAGATGTAGACTATTTCCTCATCCCCTTTTACACCAAACCAAATACCACCGGCTTTTCACGTATTGATTTTTGGTGTTTAGTCGGATATAACCTATGGACCTTTATACCTTTGTTTTCATGCAGTGTTCCAGTGTTCTTATTAAGGAATAAGTCAAGTTTATGTGTACAGCCCTTGAACGCAGTTAGAGTCTCAAAAGGCTTCACAATGCCCGCATTATGAAACAATAAATGAAAACGATAAATGAAAATGACAATCCACGACCTCAGGCCTTCAATAACAGCATAAAGAAAAAACTCCCACTAAAACCTCATTACACAAAATGGACCCACAGTTAGGTGTTCTCTTCAACTAAAACTTGGAAAAACAGCAAAAACAAATGTGCAGCAGTACAAAGTACTGTAGCATATACTGTGTACATGTGAGTCTAATGCGTCTAATGGTTCAGAAACTGGCTTTTAGAGAAAGTCTTTCAGAAAATAAACAATTCTTGTGGTGAAAATTCGCTACCATATACAGGCCCAGGGACCAAAGGAGTCAGGGGACCAAAACCACAAAATGGACACAAAGATGCACAGAAACCACAAACAGATGAACAATGACTACAAAACAAAACGAAAGGACCACAAACAGCTGCAAACCCCTTCAAAGAGACGTAAAGTGACCACAAAAAGACACAAAATGACCACAAAAATATGCAAAACAACCACAGAGAAGAAGAATTACTACAAAAAAAACGCAAAATGACCACAAAGATGAACAATTACTACAGAGACAAAACCACAATGAGACACAAACTGTCAAAATCCAGACAAAATGACCACAAAGATACAAAATGACCACAAAGAGACACAAACGACAACAAAGACATGTAAAACCTCAAAAAGACCACAGAGAGACACAAGAACGTTTTCTCGTTCTGTGTCCATTTGCGTCACTTTCAGTCTTGGTGTCTTGCTCTTAAGTAGGAGGGATGGGAGCACATGACTGTGCTCAGGGACCCATCAGCTCATAATCCATTCATGGTCTGAGTGAAACACCCTGGATTGAAATAAATGGGATATGTCAAGAGTGACAAAACAATTAGCCTGCAATCAGTTTATCACCACGTAAAAGACTGCAAACCTCTGGCAAACACATGCATTAGATGCCTGGCTGACTCTATTAGTCTGGGAAATGTGGTTGCTTACAACACAGCAAACCCTCTCCAAACCCTGACGTCTCCTCCTCGTCCCTCTGTTGCCTCTTGAATTCACCTCACCGCTTGAGCAGATCTCTGTTTCCTTTCCCCTTGTCTAATGCATAATTCATTCTCATGTTCACGGGCTTTCTCCCATCTTGTGCTTGATCAATAAAACATACCTGTGTGCTTTCTCCCTCACCTCTCCATCCCCTTGTCTTGTTCCTGAAGCCAGACCGTGAACCCATGCTGAGCTGATGAAACAGCATAGATAGATGGCCTTTTCAAACTGGGAGAAAATGACTACAATTCAGGCCATCTCTTGCCTGCGTGAGTTGTGTCTCTAATTTGGGTAGTGAAAGGAAGTCACTGTATTTGTCAGTCGCTTAGAGCTTTCCCTTCAAAATGATGATGAGATGTCTCTTCAAAAAAAGAGACAGGAGATCTTTTGTGTGCATGTGTGTGTGTCCTTCTCCAATGAGGAAGTATAGCCCAGAATATTTTATCATCACAGAATAACTGTCAGGGTACAGGTGTGGCCAATGCATAACTCCAGGCAGTTAGAGATTTTCTAAAAACTTTAAATGTATTTTTATGTATTAAAACTGACTTTTCTCTTATACAGAGTAGAACCACATATTCTGTACAACTCACACTATAGTCGAGTCCATATGGTTTATGCTCCACTTGAATGTCTGCATTCAGGAAGAAGAAAGGGTTACGTGGACAGTAATCGCTGATTGTGCCTCTTATGTTTCAACTGAATGATGGCGTTATCTAATGAAAGCCATTTGCAACAAAATGAAAATTGTCACTTGTCACCAGGAAGGCTGGCATATATAATTCCTCTTTACTTTGATAAGCAGAGGCTTCAAACTCAAAGTACTCCACTTGCAGCTGACTTGATCTGATCAGTGACGTCTATAAAAGTATTTAGTCACCCAAACATTACACTTATGTTTGATTGTTGAACATCTTATTCCAAAACCATGGGCGCTAATCTGCTGCAATAACAGCCTGCACTCTTCTGGGAACGCTTCCCACAAGATTTTGGAACATGGCTGCAGGGATTTGCAAGTTCTGGTCCAATGATGGCCCACTTTCACCAGCTGGC